AGCAGACAATTGGCTAAATAATCGATTTCACTTGTCTCTTTGACGAGTCGTAGTATGGTGCTAAGAATAGGACTTATTAACGATGCCGGCGAAACGTCTGGTAATGTACCAAGTCTATGGTTCGAATGGAAATTATCATGGACAACATTGACTTCGGACAAGACGCGTTTCTCTATGTCCCCTGTTTATATGACCAAGTTGCGAAAAAATGGTCAAACGACTTCTATAAGTAAATATCATGAGACAACAAAATTAGGAATTCCATTTAATAAAAATCGGAATCTAAAAGGATTAAAAACATCAAAAAATAAAATGATGACCTGGGAAATGACTATTTTCGAAATTATGACAAGGGTTCTTCACATAAGATGGAACTAAGGCATTACAAATAGAAAACATAGTATGCTTAAAAAAGCTCATGCATGTTGGTATACCTTTTTCTTTGTTTGACAGTGAAAGGAATTCGTAAATTGGCTTAATCTGAAATCAAATGAGGATTATCTTGGGGTTATGATCGTATATTTGCACAGATAAGTGTTCGGTGCACGCTCATTCTACCTCGATAAATCAATACATAACTTTCATCTGGCATATGACAGGCATCATCAGAGCAGAAAAGCATGTCTTATAAATCGCCACCAAGTAGTAAGACAAAGTGGTCAGCTGCGATCCTGCCTACTTATGGTCTGACACTTTTCTCATGCGTCAACGTGGCAAAACCAAAAATAGACGTAATTTGGATAGGGATACAGTTATTCGGTTGACAGCATCCACTGTATGCATTATCCTAAGCCACTTCACATTTTATCTTCAGCTACTTAATCGATCTGCAAGAATACAGGAAAAGTACAAAATAGCCAATCAAATCGAGAGGTGACTTATTAAGTTGAAGAGATGTAAGAATGCAGCCATCCCCTTTTCTTGTCTTGATGTTTAATGATGTTCGAAAAGTGCGATTTCCTGCTTTGAAATTGTCTATCAGATGACAGAATAAAGCTAAGCATAGGGCTATCGAGGCCTCGAGATCGTAAGCCAAGGAATCATTAGAACAAATTATCGGGTACAGCTACAAGGCAATTCTACTTCGGCTACAGGAGAGGCCAGTGTACGAATTCTTTCAACTTACCTTGTCGAACGAAATGAAATGTATAAGAGCCCCGCTCTATTAATTGATTCCTTAAAACTCATATTTTATTTATAGCCAATAAATCAGCTTGTCATACTGGCCTAATACAAGTAGCCTGAAATTAAATCTATGCTATTCAGAAGTGGAGCACAATGTGTTATATACAGCTGCAAGCTCTTATGCTAGATGAACAAAAAAGTATTTGAAAGAATACAGACTAGGGGAATTAGAAGCTTAGCCTGAATCGCTTAGTTAAGAATATTTGTGCTGTGGTCCATGATTTCAATAGCATATATAAAGTGCATCAAAAGACGGCTTAAAAGATCGGTTTAAAAGACGCTATTTGCAACAAGTATTTCTCGAAATATAAAGAGCCACTAATGCTGCAAGCCAATAAGTTATAGGGATTATCCTCAGGAAAACTAGCTTGGTTGAATACACCTAACTTCCCTCCCAATGTGTGTATCTGTATAGAAATACAATGAACAAATCGCTAGTTGATTTATATGGATAGGCAAATAGTTATATCACAAATAAGGAATACTTTAAAGAGCAAATTAAACCTAAGAAATTATAAATACGAATAAGTTTAATTACGCCAATTATTCCTTAAAAAATGTTAAAAGTAGGATACCTGAAGGGCTGTTTCAACCAACGGTTCGCGGGCATCATTAAATACCAGATGATTGTAAGGTAATCCAAGACCAACAGGATCATATGCACATACAATATTTAATAAACTTGCAAATAATGGCAGAGCATGACGATTTTCAGCGCTGGTAAAATATGAAACCCAGCGATTATGTTTGGTTTTGGCTTCCTCCTGCGTAAGATACATTGTCTCCGAAAAGCATGTTAAAAGAAGTTTAAGAAGTTCAGCCCGGTTAGAATCATGCGTTGCATTTTGAGCGGGTACTTGTGCAAATCCAACGCCAGCCTGCCATATATATTCACAACTATCGATTGCGTGCATATCCTCAGGACCATCCTAAAAACGTGAATATAAGCAAAATGTCAGATTATTATAAAAGCTTGACTAGTGCAATAAAAATAAATGGTAAATCACTTGTTTTAAAACCATAAAAAGGTGTATAATGTGAGCTCCAACGTCCCCCACTTTCCAAATGAAAAAAGAAACCAACTCAACAAAAAACTTACATAGCACAAGTTCTACATG